AGAGAGCGCTGTACATTCACTCCCTCCACCTACAATCCCTGCCGGTACGAGACTCGAACCCACAACCTTTTGGGTTATGAGTCCGACTCTCTAACCATTAGGCCACGACTTCCCCACAAACCACGACTTCCCCGCAGTCCTAACATACTGCTTATTGCATACTATGCAGTGTAGAATTTATACTGTGTATTGTTTTTGAGAAAATAGTATGCAAAACATTTTAAATTGGTATAACATGACCTTACTTTTTTTGTTAATTCAGCGACTTGCTTCCAGTTTTACAAATAAAATGTTTTTTCTGCATTTTTAATCAGTTTTGTACAGACATGTTCTAACATTTGGAAGTCTGATCAAATATATCGTACTAAAAATGCACATAATTTACAGAGTATGCATACTAATTTCTTTAAAAAATGTTTAAATGCTTGGTTTGGAATGGAATACTAGCATGTTATGAAGTGTACTGTGTACTGTTTTTAGAAAAAAAAGTATGCAAAGTATTTTAAGCATGACCTCATTAAAATAGTTTTTGTATGGATATTAAATATTGTGGTTTATGTACTGTACAGTTTAGCAACTTAGATTAGTACTTAATCTGGGTATTTAAAGCATACTTAAACATTTTGTGCACAGTATGAATACTGCATACTAATCCATTTTAAAATAGCTTAGTGTTTAGTTTAAATGCTTAGTTTGAAATGGACTACTAGTAAACTGCTTATTGTATGCTATGCAGTGTAAAATGTATACTGTGTACTATTTTTAGTAAAACAGTATGCAAAGTATTTTAAACATGACGTCATTGCTTTGTGTGCAAATATTACCTCAGAAATATGCAGAAATTTAGGAAGAAATGTAATTTGTATACATCGAATTGTAAAATATTTGTTGTTTACGGCACAGTTTAGCAAATGTAGTAGACAATTTGGGTATTTAATGTATACTAAACATACACATACTTTGCAAAGTATGCATACTCCATACTTATTTTAAAATGTAGTTTGAATGCTTAGCTTGAAATTGATTACTTCCATACTGATTTTTGCATACTACCCAGTGTATATGTATACTGTGTACTATTTTTAGAAAAATAGTATGCTCAACATTATAAACGTGACTTCACTACTTTGTATGCAACTAGCATCCTCATGTTACCTCAGAAATATTATTATTCTAGAAATGTCTCTTCTGTACACAAATCATTTGTAAAAGGCAATTAAAAATTGTGGTTTATTGATTTATCATATTATAAATTGAAGATAAATTTCAGCACATTGCATTGTGGGATATAGTATTCCGCACAGTGTGCTCTGCTTGTGTACTGCACAGTTTTGCAAATGTAGTAGATAATCTGGGTAATGAATACATACTAAAAATGCACATAGTGTGCACAGTATGCATGCTACATACTAATTTTCAAAAACAGTATGTAGTATGCATCATTTGGGACGCAATCATTAAATTCGGCTCCATTTTCTTGGGTTTTAGATGCAGTTTATGTTTTATGTAACCATGCAGTGTGTACTTGAACCCAGTGACATCTCAATGTTCTTCCAACAGACTCGAGGACATGAAGATACACACTAGGTCTTCATCTCAGCCTCTCAGGTAACTTTTTCTTCCAAGTTTTTCTTTAGAGGCCATAACAGAGGTCATTTACATATAACTAAGTCTTAAAGATACAGTAGCACAACCACCTGTTTAAGGCTGGGAAATGGTCATGTGGTCTGTTTTTGGCGTATGAAATCTTATCTAACCTTTATAAATGAACTTCAGTTAAAAAAAATAAATGCTTTGCATAAGCTGCTGGCTCACTACACTGGCTATTTTACCTCAGACCTCTCCAAATGTACAAAAATAGCCCAAGGAACAAACACAGCCTACTTGCGCTTTCTATTTTACGTACTTCAGCCACTCAAAGACAAATTATACCCCGACGTATCTTCATTTTCAGCCCCTCCTTTCACACAACGCTAATAAAATGAGATCTTCAAGTACCGCTCGATGAGAACAGGACGCCGCATCCTCGTGTGCATGGTGATGTCAATAATTTGAACAGGCCCCGTTTTAGCACGTTTAACCCAGATGTAAATTAAACACCCCCTTGTGAGCAAATGCGCAGTCCTTAATTAATTTCCCATGAAAAGCGGCGAGTTGAAGAGGCCTCTCGGACATAACTGGCCCTCCTACTCTTCCTGTCGCAGCTCCTTCTCACAAGAATGAAGGATGAGCTCTTAGCAAATTAGTTTCTGTGTTTAGCTGATAGAAAGAGTAAATGAGCTCAGTTTAATTTTTAACTTTTTTTTTTTTTGTACAGAGTGTTATAGATGAGGAGTAATTTATTAGGTATTATATATTGTATTATATATTTCAGATTTATATAAAAAACATTTTTTTTTTTTCATGTTGCATAGGGTTTCAATTTAGTTTGTCCAATAAAATATAGAAAAGGTCTATCTTGCAAATTATTATAAAGCGTGTGCAAATTACTAATTAACAGGAAACAAATGAAATTACTTCCTTACTATATGTAGTTTTATATATA